GGCCCCTGGTAGCATCCTTGCTCCTAGTAGTACGGCCAGGGGCCCCTGGTAGCATCCTTGCTCCTAGTAGTACGGCCAGGGGCCCCTAGTAGCATCCTTGCTCCTAGTAGTACGGCCAGGGGCCCCTGGTAGCATCCTTGCTCCTAGTAGTACGGCCAGGGGCCCCTAGTAGCGTCCTTGCTCCTGGTAGTAAGGCCAGGAGCCCCTAGAAGTATCCAAGGTGTGGGAAGCTGTGGGTACTCAAAACAAAATTCGACACCAACTGGGCCTGGACAGCTGAGCATTAAACTGGGGGGCAGCTGGACAGCTGTTCATATCACCGTGCCTCTATGTAGAAGGTTTTGTTGATTCCTCTATAATGAGAGAGTTCATTCGCAGAATTGTTGTTTTTTGTGGAAAGTGATAAGATTGTGTGTGAAGGGCACCTTCAGAAGAAGGGATGAGACGGTCTTTGTTGCTATACTCAAGACAATTTGCAGGAGTGTGAGGGGAATTTGGAGAGGGCACTCGTAAAAGTGGAATGCCTGTTCGCACGCACGGGAATCTCCAAAATGTGACAGCTTCATGAATGAGCTCGCAAAAGCCTATTGTTTCTACTAGCGTCCTTGTTACTACTAGTAAGGCACTTGTTACTAGAAGCGATGCACTTGTTCCTAGTAGCGTTCTTGTTGATAAGTCCTTTAAATAGATGCCTTAGAATGATGTAATTGAGTAAAGTTGACGATGTGTAAAGGGGTGTGGGGTTTCTTCATGGCATGAATCACACTGGGACAAAGATATGGTATGGTCCCTTACGTCCTGGGGAAAGCGACAGCTAGGACTGCCAAAGCTACCCGCACCATATCATATGTCCAGAATGCTTCTATGCTTGCCTGACTCACTACGAATAAGAGCTCTTTCTTCGACCAGGGCGCTTGTTCTTGGACGATCAGGTTCATCCTGGACCAGAAACTCGCTCGCTACGCCAGCGCGAATTCTGGGGTAGCCTCTTAGGTACCCTTTACTCTTCGACCCGATTGCCTCACTACCGACCCAACCCATCGCGAATTCCGCCGCGAAATGCACCGCTGAGGCAAATTCTTCTCGCTACGAGGAGCACAGGAGCATTTGCTCTTCGCAGCTCGGTGAGATGTTGGGGGCGCGCTCTGCGGCCCTTTAGAAAGCTTATTGTTTCTACCAGCGTCCTTGTTACTACTAGTAAGGCGCTTGTTACTAGAAGCGATGCACTTGTTACTACTTCAATAAGTAGGTTGGAGCCATCGCTAGTAGTTTCAATCAAAGTCAACGGACTGTGCAGGTTGCTACACCGAATTGCCTTTTGTTGTGGTCGACCATTCATTGGCTTTCTGGGAAAACCCAGATTGGGCGCCAAGCGCGTCTTTCAAGCAACCCCCCCTGTCACCACCTATCCTCCACCCATGTGGCTGCTTGCAGTCTTTGCCTTTCTCCACTTATACTTGGCGGGCAATGCTTCGAAAGTGGGTCATCTCTTGCCCAGCTTCCCAAACATATCGGGCACTGCACAAGTCAGCATGCTTGCAGACATGAACCTGTCTGCAAACCACATGACGCATCATGACGCACTTGCATGCTGTGGAGGAAGGCGAGACCTACAAAGTGCAAAGCTCTCGCAATTTATTCAGCCCCGAAATCTGCACTTTCTTAAGCTTCTTCTTCGCCAAAATCCAAACTGAAATCAACCAAATAAACAATTGACTCTGACATTGAGTTGTGCAGAGTCCCTTCAGCATCTTCGGCAAACTTTGGGAACGCGCAACAACAGGAATCTTTGAGACACCCACCATTTCAAGCTGTCCAAGCTTCTCCCTAGCTCAAGAACATACTGTAACTTTGCCACCACATCTGACCAACCGAGACAAGCGGAGCAAACCCGAGAGCAAAAAGCTGGCTTTCAAAGGGGTAAGAACCCCGATGGGAAGATGCTTGGAGAAACATGAACCATGTTCTGGGTCCTCCCACGAGTGTACTGAGGCATCGATTGGAAAGCAGCGAACTCCCATCAAAGTGGCTATCGTTTGCGCAGCTTGGCGCGCAAAAAATAGAGAGTGAGAGGCTAGTAACAAGTGCATCGCTTCTAGTAACAAGTGCCTTACTAGTAGTAACAAGAAGCTATTAGAAACAAGTGCCACGCTAGTAGGAACAAGTGCCTTACTAGTAGTAACAAGTAGAAGCTATTAGAAACCATATATTACCTTTGAAAAAGCAGTAACCACAGATTGCCAAAGGACCTTCAGCCCTTTGGAGACGGATTGGAGAAAGGACATGTGCTCAAAATGCTGGATCCAGATGGAGAGTTGCGTGAACATCGCTCTACGCAACGTGATGTATTGCTTGCTGGGTTTCTTTCGAGGGTTTCCGTGCACAAGGCGATTGTGACAACCATCATCACCTATTTACTCTACAAGGTCTATGTCGACAGTATGCTTCGGAGACGCTCTGAACATCAGGAGGAGGGGTGGCAGTTCCGGATCAATACTTGGAGCGTGAAGAAATGAAAGTAACTCCTAACGGTTTTTTCTGGTGGCTACTTGCTCCGTTCGTAGCGATGCCAGGAGCCCCGTTCGTAGCGTCCTTGCTCCTAGTAGCATGGTCATGCGGTGGGTCAACAGTTTTAAAGGCAACCAGTTTAAACAAGAGTCATGGACTAAGTTCAGCTTGATAAAGAAGAAAGTGATTGACATTCCATTAGGAACGTGTGAATAGTTTGGCCAGGAGGAAGAGGTGACGAAGCCCAAAGCTGTGCCCAAGTCGCCCAAGCGGGAGCGAAGCAGCAAAGCCTTGGCGGCCAAGCCTGACGAGAGCAAGTTGTGTTGTTCCTTGGATTACTGGCAATGGCCTCCAACTACTAGCGATGGCCGGTGAGGCGTTCGCTCATGACGCCTTTCTTCCCGTCACTTGTGACCCCAATTTTCCCCACCATACCCATGATACTGGTGATGCTTTGTGCGTAGGCTTGCCTTCGATCACGGAGAAATGGTCACCCTCAGATCATATTTGATCATAGAGAACTGTGTGTGTCGGTTTTGCATGGATGTAAGATATGATGATGTGGCCATGGGCCAATCATCACGAGAAGTCGACGACCCCATGCTTTTCACAAGTCCGGTAGCGTCCTCGCTCCGAGTAGTAAGGGAGCGCGCCCCTAGTAGCGTTCTTGTTCCTAGTAGCATCCTTGCTGCTAGTAGTAAGGCCAGGAGCCCCTAGTAGCGTCCTTGCGCCTAGTGGCGATGCCAGCCTAGTAGCTTCTTGTGTTGCACGTGGCACAATGCCTGCTTCAGATCGTAGTCAGCTTCGGTCTGCAGCACGTTTCCCGGCGCTTTGCTGGGTCTTAAGTGGGTACATCTGCGACATCGCTGCGCCATGGGCCGTTGCCTGGCCCCGTGCTGTTGGGGAACGGGAAACACGCGTGTGTAATTGCGGCCGGGTGTCAGCAAGGCTTGGTGTCGATTGGTGGCACCTGGTCCTTGGCAACCCAACGCGGTGAAATTACGTCTGTGACGTCACTGCGTCATGCGGTTTGCCACGGGCTCGGTGCAACGTGGGTGTGTTGGCATTGGCTCCGTCATGCATATGTAAACACAAAGATTTAGTATGGTTTGGTGGTGCGAACACTGCATCCGATCTATGTCACATTGCTGCGTTGTTCCCCACATCATAGTGCGGGGTTCCCACTATTTCTTCCACTGTCCTCCTGCCGCTCCCGCTTAGCAGCCTGTTCAACTCAACTCACGCAAGAACTCACCCACACCAACTTGTTCGCCCCAACTCACTCACACCAACGCTCTCACGCACGCTCAGCTGGTACACACGCTGGTACACACGCTGGCGCGCATGCGACTCACTCCAACTCACTCACCGCTCACACTCAATCTCACTCTCATTCATCCGCTATCGTTGCTCTTCGATCCGCTTTTGTCCCACCTGTTCTAAACACAATTGCTTCACATGCCGGGGGGGGGCATCCGGTCCCTTAATCCAGAACGCGCGCGGGGCCTTGAGGCTACGACGGCCTCATGCGCTTCGCCAGTTCCCGTGGGACAGTCGAGGCGAAGGCGTCGCGGCCCAACTTCTCAGGCACCTGGCCACTGGGCGAACCAAACAGACCAAGGCAGATGGTCCAGTTTCGGAGGTTATTGGGTAGGAAGCGTTTGGCGCGCCGGTTCTGAGACCAGAGTGTCTTTTGGTCATCGTTTGTTGTAGGGCCATGGGCCTTAAGGTTAAAGGATCAAAGGTCTGAAGTTTATGACAGTCATTGCATGACAACCATGCAAGCCTTTGTTCCTAGTAGCTTCTTGTTACTACTAGTAAGGCACTTGTTACTAGTAGCGATGCACTTGTTACTACAGTCCTTTTTAATACCCATCTTCAATCAGAGAGAACCTCACACCGTGGGAAACGTTTGGATTCCACTCTTTGACTGAGGAGTTGTGTGAAGGCGGAGGGCGATCTCGATGGTCTTTATGCAGCCATGGGCTTGGGATACTTCGCCCGCTGTGCGTTGGAACGAGCCCAGTGGGGCACGGGGCACTTGAGCCGGACCTATGAGCATCAAGGCCGGAGAGGGGAACAACCAGGACAGAGATGATGAGAGATGGGAAACCTCTTCTGGTGTTGCCACGTAAAGAAAGTGACTGTTGGGGCCAAATCAAAACACTAGAGTGGAGATTCCGAGGTTCAAGCCAATTCCTCACCAGGCACCTTTGGTCCAAGAGTGGTGATTCAAGCCTTCCACAAGCATTCATTGAAAAAGCTGCGGAAAAAAGAAAATAAAATAAGAAGCTACTAGTAACAAGTGCCTTACTAGTAGTAACAAGTGCATCGCTACTAGTAACAAGAAGCTACTAGTAACTATAGTTTTAAAAACCATCTGAGATCTCTGTCGCAATCAAAACTCATCGAGACCGTCGGGTAGAGCGTTTCGGGTGTTTTTTAGACTCATGGAACGAGCGTTTCTTAAAGATCCAAGTTGCAAGAGCGTATATTCTTTGTGGTTGTGGTTTTTTGGGAGTTTCAGACCTTTGTGTCTGTTGTTTTGTTATTGCCTTTAGACCTTTAGTCTGTTCTTTAGACTTTGAGACCTTTTTATCTGTTGTTTTAGACCTGAGCTTTAGCCTTATTTGTTTTTAGGACTGTTTTGAAACACTTCTTGAAAGTTATTGAAGTCTTTTTCAAAAACCTGCTTCACCCCAAAAGATAAGGCATACCTCAAGGTGAGGCTCTATTTACGAGAGACCTCTCGCTCAAGAGCGGTCTTTTCTTGGGGCAGACGTGGGATGAAACGGAGTGAGACGTGCATTCCCAAGGGCCTGAGAAGAGTCACCGGTGAGACGGAGTGTTCTTTGTTCACAGCCTCGTGACTCGTGGGAAACCGGAGTACGATTCCTGGCCTCCAACCTACTAGCATCCTTGCTCCTAGTAGCTATGCCAGGAGCCCCTAGTAGCGTCCTTGCTCCTAAGAGCAATGGCCTCCAACCTACTTGTTGAAATACCATTCCATTTAAAAGACTCCTTTAAAGGACCTTTTAAAGGTCGCTTTGCCCCCCTACTAGCGATGGCCTCCCTAAGAGCGATGGTTGCAAGACAACCACAGGGCTTCTCCCGGTCCGGACGGGGTCCATGGTTTCCGGTCGTCAAGACACGCTACGAACGGGGCTGGCCTTGCTACTAGTAACAAGTGCATCGCTTCTAGTAACAAGTGCCTTACTAGTAGTAACAATGTTTGCTATTAGAAACAATAAGGACGCTACTAGGAGCTTGTGGCTCTTTGCCGTGGCTCTTTGCCATGGCTGACGGAGGTGATCACGTTAAGCTGGTGCAGAAGGCCACTGAAGAGACCACGCAGGAGAAGCTGAACAAACGTTTGCTTGGGCTTTGCAAATACAAAAACAAAGGACCGTGATTGGAGATTTGATGGCTTGCACTGGGCCACTGGGCCACTTCAGCGTGCATGCATCAAATCGTAGCAAAAATCCACTAGTCACTAGAGTCCCCAGGAAAAGTCCCCAGGATGCCAATAGGATCGCTGAAAAATCGGATCGCTCAAAATGCCGCACCACGGCATACATATGGAAAAAACTGCAATAGCCTCCACCTAAGAGTCATAGCCTCCAACCTAAGAGCGATGGCCTCCAACCTAAGAGTGATGGCCTCCAACCTAAGAGAGAGGGCCTCCAACCTAAGAGCGATGGCCTCCAACCTAAGAGCAATGGCCTCCAACCTAGGAGCAATGGCCTCCAGCCAAAGAGCCATGGCCTCCAACCTAGGAGCAATGGCCTCCAACCAAAGAGGAGTGGCCTCCACCTAAGAGTCATGGCCTCCAACCTAGGAGCGAGGGCCTCCAACGCAAGAGCGATGGCCTCCAACCCAAGAGCGATGCCCTCCAACCTAAGAGCGATGGCCTCCAACCTAAGAGCGAGGGCATCCAACGCAAGAGCGATGGCCTCCACCTAAGAGTCATAGCCTCCAACCTAAGAGCGATAAGAGTCATGGCCTCCAACATAAGAGCTATGGCCTCCACCTAAGAGTCATGGCCTCCAACCTAAGAGCGAGGGCCTCCAACGCAAGAGCGATGGCCTCCAACCTAAGAGCGATGCCCTCCAACCCAAGAGCGATGGCCTCCAACCTAAGAGCGATGGCCTCCAACCAAAGAGCGAGGGCCTCCAACCTAAGAGCCATGGCCTCCAACCTAAGAGCGATGGCCTCCAACCTAAGAGCGATAGTCTCCAACCTAAGAGCGATGGCCTCCAAACCAAGAGAGCGATGGCCTCCAACCTAAGAGCTATGGCCTCCAACCTAAGAGTGATGGCCTCCAACCTAAGAGCGATGGCCTCCAACCTAAGAGCGATGGCCTCCAACCTAAGAGTGATGGCCTCCAACCTAAGAACGATGGCCTCCAACCCTGAGAGCAATGGTCTCTAACCTAAGAGCAATGGCCTCCAACCTAAGAGTGATGGCCTCCAACCTAAGAGCAATGGCCTCCAACCTGAGAGCGAGGGCCTCCAACGCAAGAGCCATGGCCTCCAAACTAAGAGCGATGCCCTCCAACCTAAGAGCGATGGCCCTCCAACCTAAGAGCGATGGCCTCCAACCTGAGAGCGAGGGCCTCCAACGCAAGAGCGATGGCCTCCAAACTAAGAGCGATGCCCT